AAATGTTCAGATGATAAATTTTATGTGATTTATATTTTACCGCAATTTAAAATAAAAAGCAGGAAAGGCCCCATCTCCCCACTTGCTGTCCAGGCAGTGGCTGTGCTGGCAGGGGCCGGTGCAGGCCACGAGAGGCCTGAGGACCCTCAGGACCCAAAGACGTCAACTTCTGCCTCTTGACGTGGCAACTCTGGCCAAATCCTTGAGCTTCCCCAGTATTCTGATTTTTCAAATGACAGCAATAATTCATCAGCTCGCCTGGGATGATGTCCGTTCTAATCTGATTAATATTTGGTAAGTGAAGTGCTTTTCAGGGAAATGGCAGGCATGACCTCCCAATAGTCTTTGACTTCACAAATTCAAGGATTTTCTCAACTGCCCTCTGTGCTCCATATTCCAGCAATCGGCAAGGACAGATGATAAAAAGAGGGGAAAGGGAGAGTAAGAGGCCTTCAAAGGAAGGTTAAGGGAAGGGGGAAAGATGACTCCCTTGCCGGTTCCCTTGGAAACAAGGGAAGGCCTGCAGGCTACTGGCTGGCTTTGGAGCCAAATTTCAAGAAACGAACTGCCCCTGGCAACAACAGAGAGCGTGTGTGCTAAGTATTGGGGGTGCCCCTTCCTCTGTTTTTTATTATCTTCTACTGCACAGCAGGAGATTGAATTCAGAATGGTTTTCTGGGAAGTTGCTCTTCAGAGGATTTGTCCTAATTCACCTTCAATCTTCTTTCTTATCCTAGTTAAGTCCATTTGAAAAGCTGGCCACCCCACATCTCTCTACAGCAGGGCCTGGGCCAGCCAGTCCTTCTCCTCCCTCTCTTCGTGTGATTTCACACTCTCACACACTCACTCACCTCCCTTACTAGTTGTAGGAATTCACAGAGAAATGGACCCCATAGAAACTCGCCAGGTACCCAAGCACAGTCACCCAACCACATGCCTCACTCTACCCACCACCTTGCCAGGGATCCTATTCAGTGTTCCCATGTTGCATGCTCAACGCTGCAGCACTGATGTCCTCACTTGTGACATCTTGAGGGCTGGGCATTAGGAAGCTCCCTCTACATGTGGAGAAGCACAGAGAGGACAATGACTTGCCCAGAGTCACACAGCTGCGCAAGGGCAAGACTGGGATTCAGACCCAAGTGCCTGGCTCGCCCCAACCAGAACACTGCCAAGCCTGGGTCTGGCTTTAGTTTTGTAAGAGGAGCTGGAAATGAGGCCAGGTTTTATTTTGTTTCAGTAGAGACTTCAAAAAAAAAGGCAAAGCTGGGGCTCCAAACTCCCAGGTACCCCTCAAATCCCAGTTGACCTGGCAGGTTCAGAGTCAGTCCTGTTGCCTTCACTCCATACCCCTGCTGGGATTCCAAGAAATGAGCAGGCTTTGAAGGTCAGGCAGTACAATTAATGCCTCCTTTTTCCATAGGCAAAAAACAATAATAGTCCAGCCCTTATTTTTCAAACAAAGAGCTCAAACGATTCAATCTCTCATCTCAGGTCTACTTATTAAGCTACTGCTCTACGTAAATACAAAAAGAGCTGACTGTCCTTTCAGTCTGAAGGGCAAGCTAAGAAATGAGCATGCGCCCTAGGATGTTTGGCTTCCTGGGCAGAGAGAACACTTCTTTGGCTACAGGGACTATGACATCCCTCTTCTTCCTTTTAGTGTTTAATTTCTAAAAATTTGGGGTCCTGTGATTTCTTGGTTTCAGAATGAGTCATTTATCACTTGAGACCTGAGGCAGAGCAAATTTCTTTGCAAACTGGGGATGGGAGTGGAGGGTCCGGGTGCACATTCATTTCACACAGCTTCCTTGTCTGGGCTTCGATGTGGAGGAGGTGTGAATTCTGGGTGCGTTTGTAAAAAAAAAAAAAAACACATTAATGCCACATTCAAATCAGGTCACAGCAAAACTGTGCCTTGTGACCGCATGCCGTTTTTACTCCTGTGTGTCATCCGTCTTTTTCAGTAAAGATTTCACTACTAAAATGGGGGTGGCGGGGTATGCAGCGGGGAGCCAGTGCCAGCGTCTCTCCTTAGGAGTCACCTGTGTCCGCCTGTTACAAGGAGGCGTGGACAAGCCTCCAGATCTAAGGCGCTTGCTAGACAAGAAATAATGTGAAGGAGAAAACAGCCACATGTCTGCCCCTAGCTAGGAAGGGAGAGGATGGCTGTGAGAGAGATGGGGAATACCCAGAAACAGTGTGGCTTTCTGGGGGAGAATTTGCTGTTTCTGCTGGCCCAGCATCCATGCCCCTGCTTCTGATAAACACACCTCATATTTTACTGAGGAAACCACCATGGGGTAGGCTCCTCGCTCAGGCCTGGCCAATCAGCCCAGAACAGCAGAACACCTTTTGGGGGCGTGGACCCAAGCCAGGCCCACAGCGTCAGCAGGCACCAGACCCAGCATGGCAGCTGCGGCCGCTTTACGCCGGCAGGGTGCAAGCCTGGAGCTGCACCTGGTCCAGCCCCGCCCATGCTTCTCAGGAACGTGAACCATAAGCACCCTTTTTGCTTAAGCCAGTCTGAGTTGGATTTCTAAATCTTGCATCCACAAGAATACCAATGTACCTTTATTTAAAAAAAAACAAAAACAGGTCATCACGTGAATTATATTTTCTATACTCATAGTTTCCGGATGGGGAAAATGAAGTCCACAGCTTAAGGGGACCATCCAAGGCACACAATTAACCTAGATGCTGAGACATCCCCCATCTACACTGTTCTCTGGTTTGCAACGAGTATGAGAAGATGTGCCCGACACCCTTCCAAGTCACAGGAATTAACAGCTGTGCAGTTTTACCCAAACACAGACACAGTCTAGGAAGAAAACGCCCACCAACCACACCTTCAAATATGAGAATAATAAGAGAGCAAATATTCAATTCAAAAAGCTCCAGCATACCACTGCTGCTGCCTAGCAGGACTGGTCTGGGAAAGTCCTATTTCTCTTTGGTGAGCCGTGGGAAGATGACAGGCCCATTGTATCTGGAATGACTAATATGTTCAAGAAATTAGGAGGGCACCAAAATTGCCAAGGGGGTCACTGAGAACCACACCTGACCAAGCAAGTTCTGAAGTCACCACCGACTGTCCCAGCAAGGCCTCTGGGGAGATGCCTGGGTCCTGTTTGGCACAGCCAGGCTGAGTAACTGCCTGGGAAACATGTTTTAGAGGCTGGTACCCTGCACAGGGCAGCTGGGTTCAGCGTCCAGGAGCCACCACTCCAGGCAGCGCAAGCTGAAATGGCAGCTTCCTGAGCTGGCCTGAAGCCCCTGTACTCTGGGACAGGGCCACTCCTCTGACTAATTTGATTGTGCTTTGAAGCCCAAGCCTGCCCTGTCCACACCACTGTTAGTCACGGCCGAGGCCTTGTTAGACAGCATCCCTTAAAAGGACTGGAACGAAAGAGGCAGCATCTTTCCAAAACAAAATTGACAAGAACGCAGTGTGCAAGATGAGGTAAAGATGTCCATTTTTCCCCCAGTGTGGCTATAGAACAGCTAGGCCTAAGGTTTAGGCAGACCATTTTCTTCTGCATTAACAAACAAAATCAAAATGACCCAAATAAGCAAATAAGTATGGCTTACCTTGTGTTTGCTCCTCGCTTCCCCACCAAAGTGATATTTGTTGACAAAGGTTTCCCAGGCCACAAAAGAATTCCTAAACCAAAATGCTTACTACACACTTTGAACAGAAATAAAAGCAGGCTGGAGAGATCTCAACCTTAAAAAGGGGACCGGTTGGCACCAGACAGACCTTTTGATTATACTTATCAAAGTGTGATTGTGGCATTCACTGATAACTGCCAAGAAAATCATGATGGGGCAGGCAGGGTGGGGGCGGAGGCATGTTCCGGCTGCAGAATTGCAGGCAACTCCCAAAGGCGAGTGAGTTCCCAGTCACTGATCCAGTGAGTGGCTCTGTGTTACAGCTTCCGATGTCCTGGGCTGGGGGGCTCCCACAGTCCCTGCTAACGGTGCTGGGGAGAGCTGGCTTCAAAGCAGCCACCGCGAGCCCAGGAGGACGGCTCACGGGAAGTGTTTCCCACTCCCATGGTGGACACAGCCAGGCTGCTGCAGAGAGGCTGAGTTTGCCCCTGGAGGCGTGGCTGGACCTTCCCTCCAGTGAGCAGAGCCCCTGCCCCACTTCTACCAAGTATCAAACTCCCCACCACCCCCCGCCATCCCCCCAGCCCCCATGCCCAGGGCCACAGCCAGAGACTCCATCTGTGTAGCTGTGAGCCTGGCCCATGACACAAGCAACTGGACAGTTCAAGTTTGCTTAATCCCAGAGTAAATGTTCTCCAGTTCAAGGTTTTAGCATCTAAACAAGACAGAGGTGAAAAATCAACCAGAATCATTCCCAACAGCAAAAAGAGGAACACATGAACCACACACAAGTGCACCGCATTATAAACAGGACTTTTAAGAAATCTTGATGTAAGAATCAAGGGGATTATATTTGATGATTTGATTCCAAAAACATATACTCAGTTTCACTAACCATAAACCCCCTTTCTTCCCATAGTACGCTGGATACAAAGCATAATCCTGGGGCATCAGGAGTAATTACAACAGCAACAAGGATAAAGATGCTGATAATAATAATAATCATCATAGTAGCAACAAAAAATACTTACACGGCCTTTAACATGGGCCAGGCACTGCTCTGAACACGTTACACATATTCATTCATTTATCTCTGGTGATAACACTACAAAGTAGGTACTATTTGTTACCTTCTTTTACAGACGAGGAAACTGAGGCACAAGGTTAATCACCCATGACTTGTACTGGATCTGCGTGGGACGCACAGCCCACAGCTGTACCCGAATGGCTGGTTGTATAGAATGAGGTACACCAGTGTCAAGAATGAACAGAGCACCCACTGGACACACATGGGGGCAGAGGTTAGGGTGGGGAGGATACAGACGGCAGCCTCGCTCTCGGGCAGGCCGGCAGCGCAGGTGCAGGGCAGTGTTCACGGGGACACTCACCTTCATTCTCCCCACTCGTCTTGATGCCTTTGGAAGCACCCTCTGTACCTTTAGCCTTCTCAGGGTCTTCTTGGGCGTCCTCGGCGGGCCCTTTCTCCTCATCTTCTTCTTCCCCGACGTTTTTGTAATTAGGTCTCTTCTGCACCCGCCTCTTGCCCTTGTGCTTGTTCATCTCAAGGGACCGCTCCAGCGTCTCGGTGGGTTTAATGAAGCACCGAATGCTGGGCTTAGCCTAGGGAAGGTGAACAAAGGCCACAGGTGAATCTGAGCACTACACTCTCATGAGATGCTATTAAGCTGTCCTAAGGAATAATTTCCAAAGCAACAAATGCTACCTCCTGATCTATTATTATGCCTGTTATTAACACCACCATTATTATCAAATAATCAAAACAATAGCGCCAGCTACCATTTATTGCCCACAGTCCAAAGTCAGAAATGCTGCCCCTTATTAGGACCAGCTCTATGCTCCCCAAGTGTCAGTTGTTCGCATCAGAAAAACACTTTCTAGTAACACTTCTATGGTCCTATGTGCCAGATGCTGTTCTAAGCGCCCTGATTATATTATCTCACTTAAACTTTGCAGCAACCCCCTGAGATAGTACTGTGTCATCCTCATTTTACAGATGAAGAAACTGAAGCTCAGAGACATTAAATGATCTGCCTGAGGTCACCCAGCCGGGAGGTGGCAGAGTTGGGATTCAAAACCACATACCATCCACACAATCTGTGCTTTAGTTACAGCACACTGATATTATTATTAATTTCAACTTAAATAAGAAACTGTATATCACTACAGGAAGTGGAACACCAGCATGGCTTGCTATTATAAAAATAAACAACCAAAAAGAAAAACAAGGTATACTTGGTGTAGTCAATGCTGGCTCTCTTTAGAAGAGGCTGGCAAGTATTAGCAATGAGTCAAAGATCTGCTCACCCCAAAGGAAGAAGTTTTTCCCTGGAAAAGTCAGAGGTGTCACAGAGAAATTTTAAAAGGCCTATGTCACCTGTGGTTCATGTCCATATTGCTGTATCTCAGTCTTCATAACAGCCATGATATATAGGAATTATTAGCCCCATTTCATAGTTGAGAAAACAGAGGTACAGAAGGGTTAAGTGACTTGCCCAATGTCACACAGCTACTGAGCTGCAGGTCAGAATTTGAGTTGGAGCTTGCCATCTCCAAAGCCCGAGCTCTTCCTAAAATAATAGTGTTTCACTGGGAGTTCAAACTCTGCTCCATATTTAATACTCTTTCAAGAGTGTACACATGCAAATGGACCAGGTCTAGAAGGGAGCCAAAGACAAAAGAAAACTGATTTGTTTGGGGCAGGATTTTGATGAAAGTGTTTTCCCTTTCCAGAGTCTGGATAATGTTCAGACGTCACTCTGTCATTAAAAAAAAAAGTTTCAAAATAAATTTTTCCATTATCCTGATGTGGATTATCCATCTTCTGAATTTACCCCAAACCACCACCAACTGCATTCCGGGGGCCACCGTACCTTGCCAATAAGCAGAATGTGCTCAAGGAACACAGATTAATTTCAATAACGCTCAAAACAAAACTCAATTGAAAGCTAAATTAGCATCTAAATCCAAACATTAATTTTTATTTACCCACTTTGGATTATTCAACCACAAAAATGATAGATAAATTCAGACATGATTCTACTGTCCAGGAAACCCAGATTGTGTATTACAGACGTCAACAACCGAGAGCCCAGAGATAGGAGCCTTCCGAGTGAGCGCTGTGTGACAGACGGCATCCATCAAAGCCCACTTGGGTGCTGCGTGAGCGAATGCAGCCCTGCACACCCCCCTCATCTTCTCCTGAAGGACCTGAGCCCAGGAAGTAAGGGCCCCAAAAGGAAGTGACTCACTTCCTCCCATCAACACCTACTCCCCCAAAATTTTAGAGCATGCCACACAGCAATCGAAGCTTTCAGAAACAGAAAATCGAGACCAAACACAGAGCAAACCCACCCTAGTTAGAAGTTACGAGCAGAAATTCACACAGATAGGTGGAAAAACGCCTTCCGAAGCTCTATATGGCCTCAGATGTACAGAACAACTGGCAGACCTTTGGAAAGTGAAACAAAGTTCTTGGGGCCTAGAGCCAGTCAGAGTGGTCTGAACCCCAGCCCAGCTGGACCCTTCGCCAGCTGCGGGGCCTCTCTGAGCCTCGGGTTCCTTGTCTAAAGCAAAGAGAGAGTAATTCTGGTCCCTTAGAACGAAAAGAAAGTATGGATATAAACCCCCTTCGGAGCCTGGTGAAACAGTAAGCATTTAACAGTTACCTTCTTTTCCCTGCCTGCCTCCAAAAAGAAAGAGAAAGAAAGAAAGATCAACTGTAAGAATGAATTTAAAAACTTTCCAAAGGGATCTGCCTTTCTGGATGATCAGGTGTTTGGGGGGGAGGGGGGCACGCTTACTGGGGAAATTTCAAACCTTTAAAATGCAACCATCCAGTAAATAGCTGGAAATAACCTAAATGTCCATCGATAGGGGAGTAGTTAGATAATCATGGTCTGTCTGTCCACACAGTGGGACTCACGTAGATGTTAGAAAGACTGAGGTCTTTTTATTCCCAGATGTACTGATGCAGACATGGCACCGGGATGAAAAAGCAGAACAGAGCACACAGTAGGTCCCTTTCAGGTAGAGCTTTTCAAAGGCTACACACGATGTGTAAGCATAACTTTTCCTGGAACGATGTGTAAGAATGGATTGGCATTTCATCTTTGGGGAACTAAAACAAGCAGGGGCACCGCGCAGCACACGTGTGGTTTTTCATTTCATTCCTTTCCATTTGGTTCGAAATTTCTAATCATGTACATCTACTAACTTTATTTTAAAAAATTCAAGGGGTCATTTGGACATTGGGGTTATGGTCTACTTTTGCTTCCTTTTATTCTTTTATATTTAAAAAAAACTAATTTTTTTCCTTAATGCTAACAACATCAAGCTGTTAGCATGGAGAAGCTGGTAGAACTTGGCTGGGAAGAGTGGGCAGAGATTTGTGACCATCCCTGCTGCTCCAGTCACGATCCTTCTGGCTGCCGGCCTCTCATGAGTCTTCCTTTTACCCTGGATGGCCCAGGATATTCCAGACTGAAGACCCCCAGGAGAAGCGTCCCTGTCCCCTTTCTCCCCACCATGCTCTCAACACTAACTATGGTGCCTGGAGCGAAGCTAGGGCTCAACAGGCTGCTGCCCAGTGAACTCGTGGCTGCAGGAACAAGTGCCTGGACGAGACTGGATGCAAAGTGAAAGACAGACTGGTGAAAAAGAAGGAAGTGGGGAGGGAGGGAAGAAAAAAAAGCCAAACTGAACTCAGCACAATTAAAGAGCAAGCTCAATGAAACTAACCAGAAGTGGGAAAAGCCCACTTCAGAGTCAAAAATCAGAAGGCCTTTGGGTTTATCTTCTCATAAAGAAAGTACAGAAGGCATGTTCCAGAGAAAAATATTCTGCAAACAAGGTCTGCATTTCCCAAATGCCACGGGTTCAGGTTTCGCCAAAGGCTGGGCTCCCAGGTGCCTGAGCCTGGGCTACAGGAGTATGGCGGGACAGGGTCTCCTTGCTGATTGCAGTGGTTCTACCAGGCACCAAACTAGGAAACACAGAGGCTCTCATACCTGGATATTTGGGCTGGCTTCTAGAGTCAAGGTCAGCTGAAGGCCAGCAATGGGATTCCAGGGGTGCCCCAGGGCCTAGATACTCCCTAAAGTGTCTGTACCTGCATGCTGGTTCATGAAGCCTCCCACCAACCTAGCACCCCTCCACCTAAGGCTTTGATTCTCGCTTTTTAAAAAGTCAAATACTCTGGGGAAGGCGACTCCCCAGGGGTCAGCAATGACTGAGAGCTTTCAGGGACTGGGAGATCTGACAGCAGGTTCTGCAAGGAGGGCAGCAGAGGTCGGGAGAAGGAGAGAAATAAGCAAGGGTCAGGTGCCCGAGTGAGGGGGGTGAGGCACATCACCGAGGGGACAGATGCCAAACAGGATGTCCTACACTAGGTCGGGGTGCACCAGCTTTGAGAGACCCAGACGCAAGACTGAACGTGAAAAAGCAAGCTGTAAGCAATGATTGTTTTTGATTTAAAAAAAACCAAGACTATAGCACTGAAACGTACATATACGTATATCACATACTCCTGGGTTGATAGATATTTACATGAAAATACACAGAGAGAGGCCTGGAAGGATACACAGACTGAGAACAGTGGTTCCCTCTGAGGAAGACACTGAGGTTGGGGACTTTCACTTTCTGCTCTATCTGCTTCTGTATTGTTCAGTTGTTTTGCCCCAAGAAAGTACTGCCAGTTCCATTTAAATGTAAAAAATACCTTTTAGGAATGTATTCAGTGCCACTGAACTGTACACTTAGAAATAGTTAAGACGGTAAATGTTTGTTTCACCACAACTTAAAAAAAAATTCCAAAACTTTAAAAAGGCCCCTTTCAAAGTCAGAATGGTGATTACCTTGCGTGGGGTCGTATGGGGGCGTTGGTTATAGACTGGGGAGGGGCTGTGTGGGATGCTAGAAATGTTTTCTGTCTTGACCCGAATTATGCACAAGTATAATCATGTCCAAAATCCTCAAGAATTACACCTAAGATTACTGTACTTTTATGTTCTTTAGGTTATTCCCCAATTTTTTAAAAAAAGCTTACCCAGAGGATTTTCAATAAAGTCGGGTTGTCGTAATGCCCTAAATACAAGGTCAGAGCGAATTAAACAAGTGGGGAGCTGGATTCAGTGGAGCCGCCAGAGGACGGACCTGCTCATTCACCGAGCAGCGAGGACGGCGGGGGAAGAGCAGGAAGCCCGGGCCACGCCCCTCCTGCCCTCAGCGCTGAGATGGGAGTCCCTCCTGGTACTGTCATGTGCGGGTACTGCCCAGCAGCCCACGCGGATGCCGGCAGAGAGAAAGTTCACGCAGCAGTGATGGGGGCACAGAGGAAGGGGGCAAGCTGTGCCGGGGCTGGGAGGGATGGGGGGAGATTAGGAGGGCTTCACAGAGGAGATGGCTGATTTGAGTCTTGAGTGTTGACAGGAGTTCACAGGACACTTGGGAGGAAGAGGAGACTAGTACGAAGCCAGCTCCGAGCCCCAGCAGGAACCTGTGTGCTCCATATGCCTGGAAGAGGCCGTCTACCCTTTATTTCTGTTAAGGCCTGGGTCACCTGGGGCTGGTATGCTTGATGACAGCTGTGGTGCTCTCGGACC